CATATATGACAAACCCACTGCCAGCATCATACTCAATGGGTAAAAACTACAAGTGTTCCCCTTAAGATCAGGAATAAGACAGGGGTGTCCACTTTCACCTCTCTTATTCAATATAGTACTGGAAGCCCTAGCCACAGCAATCAGACAATAAGAAGACATAAAAGGCATCCAAATTGGAAAGGAGGAAGTAAAACTATCTTTATTTGCAGGTGGCATATTTTATATAGAAAATCCCAAAGATTCCACCCAGAAACTACTAAAATTGATAAATGAATTCAGCAAAGTAGCAGGAAACAAATTAATATCCAGAAATCAGTTGCATTTTTATATGCCAGTAATGACCTAACAGAAAAGGAAATTAAGAAAACAATCCATTCACAATTGCTTCAAAAAGAATAAAATAACTAGGAATGAACATAACCAAGGATGTAAAAGAACTGCAAGCAGAAAATTATGACTCTGAAGAAAGAAACTGAAGAAGATACAAATAAGTGGAAGCACATACTGTGTTCATGGATATGAAGAGTTAGCATCATTAAAATGTCCTTACTACCCAAAGCAATCTATAGTCAATGAAATTCCTATCAAGATTCCAATGATGTATTTCACAGAATTAGAACAAATATTTCAAAAATTTATATGGAACTACAAAATGCCCCACATAGCAACACAATTCTGACAAAGAAGAACAAACTGGGAGGAATTATACTACCTAGTATCAAACTGTACTACAAGGCAATAGTAATCAAAAGAGCTTGGTATTGGCATAAAAACAGACATATAGATCAATGGAACAGAACAGAGAACCCAGCGATAAACCCACACCTTTATAATCAATTAATATTTGACAGAGGAAGCAAGTAAATACAATGGGCTAAAAATAGTTTATTCAATAAATGGTGTTGGGAAAATTGGACAAATAATGTGCAGAAAAATGAAACTAGACCATCTTCTTACACCACACATAAGAATAAACTCAAAATGGATCTAAGACTTAAATGTTAGACCCAAAACCATAAAAATCCTAGAAGAAAATAGGCAGCGAAATCTCAGACATTGCTCATAGAAATTTTTTCACATATATATTTCCCCAGGCAAGGGAAACAAAAGGAAAAAATAAACAAATGGAACTACACCAAACTGAAAAGTTTTTGCACAGCAGAGGAAATCATCAACCAAATAGAAAGACAACCCACAGAATGGTAGAACATATTCACCAATACATCTGATAAGGGGTTAATATCCAAAATTTATAAAGTATTTATAAAATTCAACACCAAAAAACCCAAACAACCCAATTAAAAAATGGGCAAAGGACCTGAACAGATACATCTCCAGAAAGGACATACAGATGGCCAATAGACATATGAAAAGATGCTCAACATCACTAATCATCAGAGACATGCAAATAAAAACCACAATGAGATACCATCTCACTGTCAGGATAGCTATCATTCATAAATCAACAAAGAAGTATTGGTGAAGATATGGAGAAAGGAGAACTCTTTTGCACTATTGGTGGGAATGCAGATTGGTGCAGCCACTGTGGAAAGCAGTGTGGAGATACCTCAAAAGCATAAAAAATGGACCTGCCTTTTTGACCCAGCAATTCCACTTCTGGAAACATATCCAAAGGAACCCAAAACACTAATTAGGAAGAATATAAGCACCCCTATGTTCATTGCAGCATTTCCAATCACCAAGATATGGAAGCAGTCCTAGTGTCCATCAATAGATGAGTGGATAAAACAACTATGGAACATTTACACAGTGGAATTCTACTCAGCCTTAAAAAAGAAGAAAATTTAGCCCTGGCTGGTATGGCTCAGTGGATTGAATGCCAGCCTGTGAACCAAAGGGTCACTGGTTTGATTACCAGTCAGAGCACATGCCGGGGTTGCAGACCAGGTCCCCAGTAGGGGGTGTGTGAGAGACACTGATGTTTCCCCCTCCCTTCCCCCCTCTCTAAAAATAAATAAATATTTTTTTTAAACAAGGGAAGTTTGCCCTTTGCAACAGTATGAATGGACCTGGAGAACATTATGCTAAGTGAGATAAAGACAAATACCATATGATTTCACTCATGTGTAGAATCTAATGAACAAACAGAACTAACAAGCAAATCAGAGACAGACTCATAGATGGAGACCAGGATGACAGCTAGTGGCAGCAGGGGGTAGGTTAGGGGGCAGAAGGAAAAAGGAGAAAGGATTCATAGACATGGACAACAGTGTGTGATTGCTGGGGGGTGGGGAGTATAAGGGGACTAAATGGTAACAAAGGATACAATAAAGATTTAGTTTAAAAAAAAAAACCCCACAGTTGTTGGACTTCACCCCAGAGTATCTGATTCAGCAGGTCTAGAGTTGGACTCAAGAATCTGCATCTTTAACAAGTTTCCAGATGTCAGTGCTGCTGGTCAGAGATCACACCTGACCTCCACAGAATGGTGTGGAGACAGTGCTAAGAGGACCCTGAACCCAGGCCTTGGTCTTTATGGCACCAACAGCACTCAACTCCTGCTTTAAGAATTGACAGAAAACCAAGGCCTTCTATGGAGTCAGCTTGTAGTTCACAGGAGGACATGGTCAACGGGAAATAAGAGGCATAAACCTTCTGCATCTCCAGCATGGCTACTGGATATGCCTGGATGTACAATAAGAGGCAGGTAATTGCACATGAGAGTGGTCTCTACGTCCGATGCACCCACCACTCTTATAAAAGAGAGCAGGTAGCAGAGCTGAATTGCGTGGAGAAGATAAGTCAGAGGGCAGGCTCTGAGGCTGTTCAGCCCAATCTGTTCACAAGACGTGTGTGGAATAGAATTTGCCAGCTCCTCAGCTGGTGCCACAGAGGCTTTGGTGTACTGGATTGTGCTTTGAGGTGGAAACAGATGCCCCCTCCTCCTCTTCTTCAGGAATGGGGACAGGCACACAGGACTTGGTCACCACCATCATCACGGAGTCTGACCTTTGCCAGGTCTAGGTTGATGCAAAGCAAATGTCTCACAAGTGTGGGGAGACTGACATCTTAGCAAGTCTTAGCAGTGAGTTCCACTGTCACATCTTCTGTCTCCCCACAACACAGCCTATGGTGGCAATCAAATCTTGAAGTCCCACATGTCCCCATAACTCCCACCTGTGACCCCATCTCCATAGGGACAGCACTCTACCCATTATCCTGTTCTCCCGACTGTTGGTAATGAGGTCTTACCCTTCACTGGCTTCATAGCATGTAGAGACATGCAAATTTCTCTTATCTTAAAAATGACATTTAAAAGTCTCAACTCTCTCAATGCAGGGCTTCCTTCAGCTCCTTCCTTTCACAGATAAGTGCCTGGAACCAGTTATCACCTCCCATTAAGCCATCAACTCATTCCAATCAGGCTTGTCTCCACCACTCCACTGCTTCTACTCAAGTCAAATTCCCAGTAGGCATTCATTCAGTCATTAGTCTAACAGATGTCTATTGAGCCATGTGCCAAGCATGATTCTGAATGCTTGGGATGCAAAGATCTGCGCCCCACAGGACTTACAACCCAGTAAGAGGAAAATGCAGAAAAACGATACACATGATAAGTAAATGCCATGGCATGCTAGATGAGAGCTAAGGAAGAGAACAGCAGAGAAGCACAAGAAGGGATCAAAAAGATGGGAGAAGGGCCAATTCAACATGCTGGGTCCAGATCTTTGTCTTCAATTAAATTGAAAACTGACGAAAGACAGTGTATTAGCTATGATAACATATTTATGAATTTTTAATTGCTGAGCTTGACCATGAAATCCCATGCAAATTCCCTTGAGGAAAGAACCCAGCCTAGAAATGAAAGCACAGGAAGAGTCTGTGGTCTCCAAAGGGAGGGATTTTAGAATCCAGACAAGGTCCCCTTCGCTCATGTAGCCTGGCCATTCATTACATCATGTGGGCACAAATCCTTTCATTCTACAAAGGGGGCCCAGTTGTAGATGAGGGGCTGATGGGGTGTCTTAAAGGTACTGAGCAGCTAGGGATAAGCCAGTGAAATCATAAACAGAGCAGGCTTTGATTAGTGGTAGGAATTCTGCACTGAGTACCTGCTTGTTAGAACAAAATCAAGAACACAACAGAGGGAAGTGGAAGAAATTCAATAAACTTTAAGCCTCAGGACACAATTGTCCTGAGTCATTTGCAATAAGCCAAATTTTAGGGGCCTAGGTATGCAACCATTTAAGATGAGGGCAACAGCTACAGAGACCCCAGCAAGGCATTCTCCCATCACTAATTGTTTGTAATACAGAGGAAGACTTGCACTTGGCAGGAGAAGCAAGTCTACTTGTTGAGTGGCTGCTGGGACCTGAAGGAGTTCCTTCACCTGTTGATGGAGTTCACTTACCCTCTTAGCTCTAAAAAAAAGACGTTGGAATATATCAATGTGTCCAACTTTTTTTTAACAATGGAAATTTTTTCAAACAAAATCTTAAGCAAAACCCAGTGTATAAAATGTCTAACAGTGGAAGTGACTGGGCCAGAGGCCCAGCAAGAGGCCCATTCTGTATCCTCTTCACTCCTCTCCCTGATCATTCTCCTTAGAAGCAGTTCTGAGACAAGGGAGGGTCCCACACATAATGCTCCTTCTCTCCCCTGGCATCTTATGGTTCTATAATGCACATGAACCATTAAAATTCATAGAATGGCAATACTAATTTAAGGAAATCATTTAATTTTAAGAAAAAATGTAAGGAGAGAATGATACTGGAAGAGAATGGGAAACAAATTCTCTGCCTAATGTCCAGAGTGAGTCATCTAGGCCTGAAGAAATTGTTCTATGGAGGGGGAAAGCCCAGGATTCCCTGTCTAAGGAGGGGTGACAATCTTGCTGGAACATCCCCAGGAGCAGGGGTAGGACAGAGGAGTCTGTCTTTCACCAACTAAAGAAGCTTTAAGTACACACTAAGATGACCAGACAACTTTCCTCACAAATGTGAATGAATCAAGAGTAAAGGAGACTCTATGTCACAAACCTTGATTCCAAGTTCAATATTTTCTCCTCCATACACATCCATCCCAGGGTCCAGAAGACCGATTTCACCAAAGAACTTCCTGTTGACCACGAAGGAGCAGCCAATCATGGCTGGTGTCCTGTGGGAGAGAGAGAGAAGCTAAAGTCATTAAAGACATGTGGTACATACATGCATACACACATATACAAGAGAACTTACTCAGCTACTGGAATGAAGAATATCCCACCATTTACAACATGGGTGGGCCTTGAAGGCATTATACGAAGTGAGGTAAGTCAGACAGAGAAAGACAAATGTTCTCACTTACATGTGGAATCTAAAAAAGCTGAACAGTAGTAGAAATAGAGAGAATGGTGGTTACCAGGGACTGTGTGAACCCGGGAAGTAGGGAGATGTTGGTCAAGGAGTCTAAACTTGTAGTTAGAAGATGAACAAGTTCTGGAAATCTAATGTACAGCATAGCGATTGTAGTCAACAATTACTACATTGTAAACTTCAAAGTTGTTAGGAGACGAGATCTTAAATGTTCTTACCACATAATGAAATGGTAATTATGTGACATGATGGAGGTGTTAGCTAATGCTATGGTGGTAATCATATTGCAATATATAAATGAATCAAATCAATATGTTGTGTACCTTCAATGTATATAAGGTTCCATGTCAATTATATCTCAAGTAAACAAAATGAAGCTAACACCATTAAGTATCAGTAAAGGCAATAGTACCAGAAGCCCTTCACAGACAGCATCATAACAGGTGCTGGGTTCCACTCTGGCCACTCTAGTAACTTCCTGAAGCCCTCAATTCTCACATCGCCATTCTCCATAAAGCTGCATTTTGGCTTCAGGCAAACTATGGTACACAAAGCATCTAGGGATAAATGGCACCTTTGTCTCTAGAACAAGAATAGGTCTCACATATCACGTGAAGTCTGCAAACATGTGATCTGGTTCTCACTGCATGTCTGGTGACAGCTGTGTGGCAGGATGAGTATCCATGGGCAGTGTCAGAGAAGCTCAGAGGGGAGGAACAGGATGTGTCTGTCCGCTATCCCAGGAAGAACTTTACAAGTTGGGAGCACAAAGGGGAACTGGAGAAGGGAAGGTCAACAGGAAGATGTGTAGACTGCACATTCTGGTAGGAGAAAGTGGATCAGGATGCTGGTTGCTTCAAAGGGGACAAGACTCAGGGGAGATCCCTGGTATCCAAAAGGGTCAATAATAAACCACAGAGAGACTGTCTCAGCCCACAGAGAAAGGGCCCTGAACAGGAGAGATGAAAGGTACCTACAGGGTGGCCATTGGCCATAAAGTCTGGAAACAAAGATTAACATTTTATTTTGTACATATAATCCTGATTATTTCTTCTGAAGTAGGCTAAGGGCACAAGTTGAACTCCATGAAAATCTGAGACAAAAGCCACCTGAGAGGCAGCACATCATGGATGCATGTGCAGGAATCCATGGAAACGCAGCATTAACCTACCACATTCATTGCAATTTTGCATGAAGCGTGGGACCATGTATTGCTAATAAGGGACAACCCACTAATACATTTTACATATTACATTGTATTATATTATATTATATCCTGTACTGTAGTGAATATCAACAAATCCTTTATGTTTTTTCATCTCTGTTTTTAGCCTTTATAGGTACCCTTGTACAATAAATCCATTTGGCAAATATTTGCTCAGTACCTACCATATCTAAGGCATTTTACTGGTGCTGTAGAGGATAGAGAAACACACAGTATACTTCATTCAAGGAACTAAGAGTCATTTTCATTATTACTATATTATTATTATTACTATTATTGCAGCTATTTATTGAGCAACAACTATGTCTCAAGCACAACGCAAAGCACTTTCCTGCACTATTTCATTTAAAAATTTCCACAGCCTTGTGAAGGAGGTAGGACCATCTCTATTTAAAAGCCAAGCCCCATGGGGATTTAGTGACCTGTCCCTGAGTCACCATCCAGCTTCAAAGCCCTTGACTCCAGCCCTTGTGGTTTGTGACACTCTCTAGGAAAGCTGGCAAACCCCAAACTCCCAAAGGCCACACATTCCATCAAGATGCTTTCATGGGCAAAAGAGGCATCTCATTCAGGAGACCCAGTGAAGCTCCCCTGGGGCCACTGGGAAGGCATTAGGTGGCATTCTCTGGAGCTGAACTATATAGACCTCAGTCTCAGGTCTTCATAAGCTCTTTCTGATTTTGAGCTTGCCTTTGACCTCAGTGTCCAGATTTCTGACTCCATGGAATATCTGTTGCCCCCCAGGAGATGGGGCAGCAGTGGGACATGCTGGGAAAAACAGTGTTGAGAGTTGAAAGAACCTAGTGGGAATGCTGGCACTGCCACTGAAAATTACCTGGGTTACATTAATGGAGCACTCTGGATCCCAGCTAAGTCTCTACAGAGTGCTACTGTGAAAAGATGTGAGATGAGCCTGTTGCAAAGGACAGAAGCTCAGAAAATAATGTTCCTTTCCCCTCCTGCTGAGGCTCATCCACATTTTTTCTAGAAACCTCATACAGATAACTATGTACATAGGATGCTGCCCTCTGCTGGTGCAGCTGTGCCACCCCAGCCACACCAGGGACAACAACTGCTTCACTGTCAATCGTTTCCTCCAACCCTAGGCCACCCAGAGAGAAGCAGAAGAGTCCCAGCCTGGAAAAGCACTGTGTGAGCCCATCCCCCCCACCTCAGTTAACCAAACCTAAACAGTCAATCAAATAATCTTTTTCCTTAAACTTGGAATTGAGACAGTGGTGGGAGGTAGAACTAGATGGTCTCATCCAAATGTGGAGCACAGGCCACTATGTGGGGCAACTCTGGTGCACAGAGGTGATGGGACATAGGGAAGAGGCAGGTGGACAGTGGAGGAGACAGGGGTTGGAGCTGCCTGGTGACTTCAGCTTCCCATCTGCTGAGAGGTGTGGCTCTGATCTCTGCCTGGGGTCATATGAGAATCCCCTGTGTCTTCGTGGTCATCTGAGAGTCCCCTGTGTCTTTGCAGTCTCTCCTTTTTGACTTAAACCCTGTTAGATAGGTGTCTGTTCTTTGCAACCAAACTGTGATAATGACACATGCTGTCCCCTCGTACTTATGACCCGAGGGCAGGGTGAAGGGAGGTTATCCTACAGCCAGAAGAGGCAAACTTCAGGGACCATTCATTCAGGGAGAGCTAAATGCCAGGGTCCACCTTGTGATGGAGAAATGCCAGAGACACGTGTGCTTGGAGACCATAGGTGCAGCCTGGGAGTGCGGGAGTCTGCAGAGAAGGGGGCAGGAGGCAGCATCATATTAACTCAATTTTCTAGAAAGAAATTGCTGAGCACATCAAGAAATTCTAAAAGAAAAAAAAAAGAGATTCTGATAAGTCACTACAGTCTCCTGTAAAAGCTTGTGCCTGGTGTCTGATGTTAACACCCCTATGAAGTTAAGAGCCTGCTGCATGTTTCTATATTTTCTAATCTCTTAAAGGCAAGCAGGACAGTTAAAAATCGCAGGCACAGTCAACACACACTCTCAGCGGGGTGGCTTTGGACACTGCCTCCTGGGAGAGAGCACTGTTTCTCTGAGATTGGCTCAGCGCCCACCTGGGCCCACCTGCACCAGCATCATCCCATGGCTCCTTAGAAAATGCAGAGTCCTGGGTGTGGCCCAGGACCACAAAACCAGATTACAGAGATGGGACTTGGAAATGTGTGTTGTACCAGCAGACCCAGCCTGTGGAGCTGTCTCCCCAAGCAAACTGTCAGGGCCCCCAGAGCAGAGAGGTTAGCCCTCTAATTTCTCATTGTATTCCCAGGGTTGGTGTCTTGCCTGACACAGACAGGCACTTACTAGATCCTGTTAAACAAATGAATGAGTGCAACAATCTGGGTGACTGCCCCAGGTGGGGAAGGGCTCTGTGAAGGCATCCATGTGCACTCAGAGCTGCCCCACATGGCAGCCTGTGCTCCACATATGGATGAGACCACCTAGTTAGTTCTAGCTCCCAGCACCGTCTCAATTCCAAATTGGCTGAACTGAACTAGAACCCAAGGACACCAGGGCATGTCCTATAGCTAGGGCTGGAAGGGATGGGGGAGGGGAGAGATGAAAGAAGGGAAGAGAAGGAAAGAGTGGGGAGAGGTAGAGGATGGAGGGAAGAAAGAGGAAAGAAGGGAAAGGAAGTGCTGGAGGGAGGAAGGGAAGAGAAGAAGAGATGGGAGGGACGGGTCCAAAGCATGTAACTTTCACAATCCTGGAGGGTAGACAGGATTCTGGTCCTTCCAGACCCTTTCAGATTGCCCTTTGGGAAATACCTTCCTTTGTTAATTGGACTGATAATTTAATATAATTGGCTTTATCTGGATGCTATTTTTGGTTGTGATGGTGAGGAGAGAATTCACAGTACAAGTCACCGTGGATCCCCTGTTGCCTGGGCACTGCTATCTCTGTCCAGCATATTTGACCAGGCTCTATTCAGAAGCCCCGGGATTCCTCAGGACAGAACTGAGAGGTCCCCTGGTGCCTCCTCATTAAAACCAGGTCACTGCAGGCACCCAGGCCTGTGCAAGGGCCCACAGGAGCCCCTGATGAAGCAGGACTCTGTCTGTATCTGGGCTGGTTTCAAAACCCAAAGATGGAGGGCAGGAGGCAACTCCCAATGCAATGAAAACATGGAATGAACATGTGACCATCACTGCTATACGGCTGGCCTGTGAAATGGTCCCTAAAAGCCACAGTCAAAAATCTGCCACAGTGTTGAGAAGAATGTAGCAGCACTGTTCCAAGTCTTGGCTCCAGCAAGGTTGTCCCTGATTGGGATGGTGGGAAAGAAAGTCTGGCAGTGGCCTGGAAACCAGCCCTCAAGAGGGAAGCAGCCCCTCCACTGAGCCGAGTCCCCGGTCCTGCAAGCAGCACGGCTCCAAGGCCTGTCCCACTGTGCAGGCACCTAATGGATGGTTGGTGAATTTGGAGACTAAGTAATTGAGAGACACATCCTCACCCATGGGGAAGCTAATTCTGGAACTACCTGACTGGACTGATGATGACTAGCTGTCCTCTCTGTATGGGGAGAAATAGGTCTCCAACAGAAAGCCACCACTGAGCCCTACCTG